TCGAGGGTGGTTTCTCTTCTTGTTAAACGACGTTGCCTTGAAAGAAAACGATGATCGAGTTTCCTTTGATGTTGCTGTCTCTTTGCCCTACCAACCCCAGTTCTTGCAGGTACAAAGTGGGAGGTGCCTGTCTTGACTGGAATGCGGATATGCTGCTGGGTCACTAGACGACGTGGGTTGCATTCCTTTGGCCATTCAGGAACAGATGGCATCCCTCGCTGAAAGCACGGTGATCTCTGCGGTCCCCCAATTCCAATGGTGCTCGTCTCCGTGCTGCATCCATATCTCTTGCAATAGTTGCTGTGGCAGGATCAGAGACATGAGCTGGACGGTATTTGTTGACTCTCGTTCCCTCCACCCTATGTGGGTTTGCAACCATCGACGGTTTTCATTTCCGTACAAGAGTCCCATTCTTCGATGGTTATACCCCAGTTTCTCTATCATCTTTCTCTCACTCTTTTCTACACTCTTTTTTTTTTCCACTTTCCGCAAACGAACATTGCAACATTCTCTATCTTGCCCTCTCCTTTGCTACGGGTCTTTCACCCACCATCCACCGTTTTGCATCATAATCTACGCAACAGATCTGATCCTCACTGCTGTCTCCAGTCCCCCGCTTCTGTTCCTGATCCTTGCCTTGGCTCTGGATCGTTTGCGGAACTGATTTCTAGTACAGAGACAGAGGCAGAGACACCCGCACAAGAGAGCATGACAGTGGCCGTCTCGCATTGGACGAGGAGCCCCGGCACGAGCGTCAGTCTCAGCTCGCACCCGACAGACTACAACGACATGGCCTACTCGGAAGTCCAGTTCTCAGTAGATTCAATGGACGAGGACAAAGACGGTAGCGGGGGCCAGTCTCACCTGCCCTGGGGAGAAGAGACAGAGGGAGCCGGCGGGGGAGGATCGGGCTCGGGTGCGGTCCACAGCGACAGCCTCCTCTTCGAGGACTTCGTCGACCTGGAGAGGCTTTCTTCGACGACCACCGGGGGTGACGAGCTCCCTCCCTCTGCTGCCGTGCCCGACTCGTTCTTCTACAACATGCCACTCCCCTCTCATGGGTCCGCGTCGACGACAAGCGTATCGGACGATCTGGACGACATACTAAGTTGCCACACACATCCGCTCATGGAAACTAGGACTAGCGCCGCAGCAGGTCCCGCTGCCACATTAGTGCCATCATCAGCAGCCGCTAGAGGAGGGGCGGCGACTTCAGACGCGGTGGTACCGTCTGCTGTGGGCGTTCCGGGTATCCAGTCTTCATGGACGATCGACCGTGAAGAAGAACAAAGGAAGGCTTCGACCTATCCGGACACAGCTCACGCTGGCGGGGCCGAGTCGATCTCTGACTCTGAGCTCCTGCGCCTGGAAGGCATATCGTTGAAAGCGTCGCCATCTCGCGCTCCATCTGTCGTCGTTTCCCATCCTCCCACTCCTCTTCTTCAAGCTTCGTCCGCTACCAGCAGCAACAGCAACCTCCACCTTGCCGGCAGCAGCAATCAGAACAATACTAGCAGCAACAGTCACACCAACGGTGGTCGTAAGCCGAGCAACTTCTTCAAGGTTGTCGCATCGAAACTGCAGCAGAAAGCTGCCTCTGTCCGCCATAAACAACCCACCATGTCTACCGTCGCCATCGACAGCAGGGGTACCCTCTCCCCCAACGCCTCGCCTCGCAAGTTCAAGCTCCGTCCCGAGCATCTCCAGAACCTCGGTGGCCCTCACCCCGCAAGACTTCCCCTGTCCCCTCCCAACAGTGCCACTATTCCCCAGGACCTGCCTTCCGCATCATCAGCCGGCGGCAACCCCATGTCGTTTGGCTGTGGCTACGTCGAAGACCCCTTCTTCGATGCTGGTGTGGCCGTCAACCACGTCCCCGTATTCCGTCGTAGCGATCCTACCACGCCACTGGACACTCCCGTTCTGGATGACAAGGGCGGCATGTTCTATCACCACCAGCAGATGAGCTCCGGTAACGTTGCCAATACCAGCAAGGCTTCCTGGCCAATGGCCACAACAACTCCCCAGACCGACTCTCATGTCGCTTGGTCCAATGCCTATGCCACTACCGATGGCATCGACGACCAGTGGTGGGGTGGAAACAACATGGACTTGACATCCAACTCACAATATCAAGCACAGAACGCTCGCAACGCTACCTTCAACCTCGCCATGCACACACAACACAGTGAACTGCCATATGAATACAACAACATCGCCGCCGCCGGACAGGAAATGTCAGGACTCATGATTCACATGCCTCAACCCCGTACCACATCCTCGCCCATCGTCCACTACCAGCCCCAACAGCCACTTCACCACCAGCAACATCCCCAACAGATGACGGAGCGGCGGCCCCGCATGCCCCGTGCCCCCTCGGCCGGCGCCCGGCATATGTGCCTATCAACGCCGATGCGCAAGACGCGTAACCCGAGCCGCACACGTCAAGCCAGCCGCGACTCTTCAACGTCGCCCACACCTACGAATCGCTCCCGTCACAGCAGCGGCGGCTCGTTGTCCAGTATCGGTGGTGGCGGCGCAGCTCTCAGCGCCAGCGTTAAGAAGCGTCGGTCTTGGTCTCGTCGCGAAAGCATGCGCACTCCTTCCATCGGCAACTTGGGCGGTGCGTCCGAGGGGGTCGGCTTCGTCAACTTTACTCCCAGCGACAAGAATGTTCTCATGACCGGTGTGGCGCCCAGCGGAAGCTCCAAGACAAAGGCACGTCGGGAGAAGGAGGCGATGGAGAAGCGACGAAGACTGAGCGAAGCAGCTATCAAGGCCGTCAAGGCCGCCGGCGGCGATGTGGACAAACTGGTTGAGGAAGGGTTCGTCTTCTGAGCAAAGCATTCTTCTTCCTTCCAATGTACAGCAGGTATACGCTTGGGGAGCGCTTGGGAGTTCATTTTTGGGTCAGGACATGCTTGGGTCCTAAGGGATATCAGGCGTTTTCAAGGGATCATCAATTGTCGGCTGTTTTTCCTTCTCTGGATGGGGTTTGCTTCTTTCTCGCCTCTTTCAACTTTTGCTTTTTTTTTCATTTACACAACGGCATGGGGAGCGCGAGCTCTGACTGACGCCTGACCGGCTTATCCACGATAGCCGCTTTACTTTCTTACCATCACCAACAAGTACTTACTAGCTAATCTCCTTTTCCTTATGTTGGATCAACCCAAAATCACAGGCTGGAACCCAGGGTATGAGATATGGAGGGATAGGTTATCTTAGCAAAACAGATGAAACATCAAAATATCACACTATTCAAACAAACTGTGAAGTCCCCTTTGAAAGTGATACTATGCTTCAGACTTTCCCATGGCCCAACTTTCCCATCACGAATATCTACATCACTTATCCGAGACCAATGGCATCACACGAGTCATCCTTCTTTGGAAGAACAATAACAACAACATCAACATTATCTAATCAGTCAGCAAATAGCAGTCATTCTGCTACTACTCGGCGGTGCCTTGCGGTCGCTCCATGAGTGACGCCTCGCGCAGCCTCTCGCTAGATCCCAGTCCGCAGGGTCGGGGCAGCCTCTCGTGGTGAACTACGGCGCCGCTACGTGAGGCCGTCTCTCGACCAGCCGTTAGCCGATCTACGCTGGGCAGAGCGCCGCCCAGGTCAGGCCGCCAGAGCAGGAGGGGGTATCCTCCGTCCCTTCTCTTCCTTCCCCTGGGCCGAACCTCGCTCGTCACGTTCGGTGTCTGTGCGATCCCGCATCATCCGTGCCATCCCCATGACAGGCGAGCGGGCGGGCGTTATGGAGAAAAAGCAGGTACCCCCTTCCACCCCCCCTCCGGGAGCCAACACAGACCAACTTCCGACGACGATGATGGGGAGGATGAGGAGGAGGGGGCCCAGAAGTGCACCTGACCAGGATGTAGCGAAAGAGGTCCAGGCCCAGGGAGACTTACTGGGATAATGACTTCCTACAGACAACGAGGACTACCTCACCTAGGAAAGGGTAAAGGCAATCACAACCCAACTGTGAGTGGAGCAAGGGGGTGTGGGCTGGCCTGTGTTAGTCCCTCCTCCCCGTTCCCTTTAAAGGTCCAAATCGCCGCAAACAGATAGCTCTTTTGCTCTCTTTCTCGTCCTCTTATCCCATCATGACTTGGCTTTCGCATCCACCTCAGCCAGACGCTCCCCGGATTCTCCGCTAAGCCTTACCTCTCGCACTCCTCGGTCTCCTCTATCACCCACCCACACTGACATTCGGAGACGCCTCCTCTGCTATCCTAGCAAGACCGTCGGGATTTGAAGTTGGGATCTCGGTGAAATCCACCCCCTCCTCTAACGGATGATCAAGAGGGAACGGCGTCTCCATACCGCCTCACTTCTCCTCGCCCAAGGAAGAAAAATCAAGAGACAGCCACAAGCTGACATGACAGTCTGACGGTATGCCTGCCCACGCGCCTACGAGCCCGACTCTTGAAGACTAGTGCAAGATCCCCGTTGCAGAATCTCGCAGCTCAACATGCAAACTACTGTCTACAGCTGTCTGTCTGCGGCGCCAAACCCGAAATCGAAAGGTGCCAGGAGCATGATGGCAACAGGGCGCAGTCTCGCGTATCAATGTCTCAGTGCATAGTCCACCCGCCTGGGCTTCGAGTCTCTCTATCCCGCTGCTCTCTCACAATCACGATCTCGCTTGCTCGATCACACATTCGCAGAAGTTGCTTGAATCGGGAAAGTCTCGTTCCGTTCAGATCCCCCACCGTCTACATCGTACACCCTTTCCGGAAACGTTATTGCATCTTTACAATCCACGGCCGTACGCCGCAGCCGCGCTACGTCTCGACCCTGCAGACTCTCCTGGACCCCTTTCGCAACGTCCGTTGCCCGACTGAAAGCAGGTACTCACTACATCGCAAGCGAAACAAGATCTCTCATCTTCGTACGATGTTAACGATAGTCAACGTACCTGCATGGGTCTGGCCTTGTGTAGCCGCGACGCGGGACCACCAACGCATCTGCCCAGGCGCAGCCGCCCAGCAATGGGCTCCGTCTTCGACCGGAAGCAGCACCGGGACGAGCTCCGTCACCTTGATACCACTCCCAACCGCCACAACAAGCGCAAGATCTCGACTACTTTGCCATGGCGAGCCTTGTCTCACTCGCTTCATCCGAGAGATCGAGAACCTTGCCCGGAGAGGCGCGCATCTCTACCCGCGCAGTCTAGAGCATCACGACACTTGTCAAGAGAATGCGCCCCTGCCCAGACGACTGAGTAAGGGCGCGAGACACTGGGCTGACAGAATTTGATATTCTACCTCAAAGGAGCCGCGCAATACAGAAGCCTCTGACCCTGTATGGCGGGCCACGTTCTGTTGACAATGTCTTGGATCCTCGTTTCATTTCGGGCAAAGACCTGCGAATAAGTGACATCTTGTCGCCTCGTAGGCAATATGCGCCCATGATATCGTCATTCATGTCAAAAATGGCATTCTATGAGGTAAGGTAGGAACAAACGACCATCAGTCCCCGCTTCAAGACCCTCAATTTGGTCGGCAAGCATCAAGATCCGAAACGATCACCGTTATTTGCGCTGTTCGTGCCGATGCTCTTGACTTCTCGCAGATGGTCAAACATGATCAGCATTCAACAAACATCATGGTTTCCCAACCGTCCACCAGCCATTGTATCGTGTTCGAAGCAGATTTTCTATATACGGAAAGAGAAAAGGCGTCTTACCGATGCTCTTGATTTGGTCAAGCGGCATCTTTCTCTCGTTATTTGGCCAATAACAATTTCTCCGGAGACATCTCTGTCATTGTCTTTCTAACTAGCTCATGGAATTCTCCGTAGCCAACTCTAAAAAGCCGTACAGGAACTATGGGGACCTCTCTGCCACGTCCAAATCCGGACGAAAGCAGACTTTCTCGGTCGTCGTTTCTCGGTCAGTCCAGATGTATGTCTTACCCCGGGCCCCATCCGACCGCTGCTCACTTACACCTTTTGACTAGGTTCTGATATTCTGGGCAGGCAATATCTGGGGCCAGCCGCCAGCACGATACCTACTACTGTGGCTCATGGCAGCCTTGCTATGTTTGGCAGTTCTGCCGTGTCCGCCTCAGCCCCCGCCGTCATGACAGCTGGCGTCTCGTCGACCGACGACATGACGAAGAGGTTAGCCTATAGGTTACTCCGTACACTATCCCCTTTCTTTACTTTCAGCCCGACTGTGGCGGCCGCCATCTCACACGAGCCACAGTTTATTCTTCTCTCCATCTCTCGGGCTAATTATTCAAGCCTCATGTTGCCCAAGCGAGTATGGGATCTCCAAGAGAATAGGCGCGGCGTAGCCGGAATCCCAGAAGACCGTTACCCTCCGACCAGATTGTCCGTGATATCCGCACATCTCGGTCAGCCATCAAGAGTGCCCGGGGCTTCGGGGCGTACAACGCGTCTGATGTAGCTAGCTCGCGCGTCTATCTGCCTTGTTCTATCTCAGTCCTGTGGTCGAACGACAATGCAATCAACCAATAACAACGACGAGAAGTCCGAGGGCCCCCACGTCGCGCCTGGTGAACCGACTCCAGACCTCGTGGACGTTGGTGAAGAGCCCAGCAGACTGGTGATCGTACCAACCAAGCGGCCGCCAGGGGAAAAGCCCTTCCAAATACCTGAAGCCACAGGAAAGCCGGCCAGATACCCCGAAGCCCTCGTGTTGACACCTTCAGTGGAATCCTCGCGATGCCTTCAGGCACTTCACTGCACGTCCAGAAGGGCCCGACTCTACATCGAGTTGAAGTCCTGCTCAGATGACCATCCTCCTCGTCTTCAAAACTCAGATGAAGCAGCTTGTAAAACGACAACCTAATTTTGGCCTGACGACGCCTCGATACCGTGATATCAAGCAGTAGACTGCGCCGCCGACCAACCTTGCCGTCACTCTTGGAACTACCGAGACGCGCCACACGTTGCCAGGCACAACTGTCACCTCAACTGCAGCCCAGCGGAAGCGAAAAAGCCCATCCCCAGAAAACGCCAACGCAGGTGTACCGCACCTGCATGTGCCGCTCTCCGGCTCCTGGCCCACCTGCCTTGGCCATTACCGCCCTGCATCTGAAGCCTCACGACGACCTCCACAGTTCGAGGCCGTGGTAAACCACCGCGCCACAAGCCTGGCCTTGGTCAGCCGGGCCTGTTGTTTCCGAGAGGGTGCGGAGCTCGAGCAGCCACAGTATGTCACGATGTTGCTTCTCATAGTCGGCCGCTCTACCCTTCGCTCCCGACTGGAGATGCCTTACGCCCGCCCTCATCTCCAGTAAACAAGCTTGGAGGCTTCCGACTCCTCAACGCCCTTTGACGAGCAAAAAGGAGCTCTGTTCACCACCCTAGACCTACCTGGACATGGCTTCTTCCCATCTACGCACCCCTCCCAGCTGACCACTCCCCTCCTCGCTTGCCGTTTCCACATTGGAAATAGCTCGACTGAATGCCGTCTACCCTTCTTGTCCTCTGTCGCGGCTCACGATGGCCAAGGGGTGTGATACGGGCCCAAGAGGACTGTTTCTTTCTCAACGTCGCGATGCCAAGACGCGTTGAAGGGGTTGGTTAGTCGGCCAATCTTGGCCTTGTACTACCGACCCTATCGACGGTCAAACCTGGACATCGTCAACTCGAAATCCTTCCGACGTTACACAAACTTTGCGAAAACCGGTCTTCCGCTCCATCCCAACGTCCCACCCATCATCCGTTGGATTGCGTGTTTGAGCTCCCATGATCCCATTCTCGTTTCCCCTCTTCCAGCTCGTCAAGGTCTCGCCTGGCGGGCTGACCGATCGACAACAGCTGCCTCGTCCATCACAAATCGATGACCGTTATACAGACAAAGAAAAGGCAGTCGTCTCTTGGTCTCCGGATTTGTGTTAGCCTGGGACGGAGGGGCCTGTCTCACTGCACTCACAATGAATGATAGGCAACCTCCGTGACTTTGCTCCACCTTTTGCTTTGCCTTTTTCTCTTCTTGAGCCTGCCATCCTCTCATCCCCTCTACAGCGTCTCCCGTCCTGAATCCTATTCCTCATACTTGTTGCCTTTCTCCGTGTCGGCCTCTCTATTTCTCCACCACACCTAATCCACACCACCTTCACCGAGCCCACTCTCACCTCCCTCACCTTCCACGCTTTTCCCCTCCGAGCCCGGGGTGTGGATGACTGGATCTTCTCCTTCTCCTCCGGCCTCCTCCAGTACGGACGTATCATTCAGGTCCCGCCTGTCCATCCCACCCATCCATCCTGCTCCCTACCCAAGAGGGTCCAGAACGGCCGTCGGTCAAACCTTACCTGCCGCGGGAAACGATATCCCTTTTCCAACTGATATCAAATCAAGACTGCCCCGGCTCGTCTTCCGGACCAGACGTTCTATCCCGTGTTGTCTCCCCCATCCCACCCACCCACCCATCATTCACTTCTTTGATGGGTTAGACAAGAACAGGTGAGCATCAACTAACTAACGTCCGAAACTTTTTGTGTTTAGCTGTCCATCTCGCGGTAGATCAGCCGGCCGAACCACCCACCCAAACGGCCGAATCTTTAACCACCCTTTGCCCGTTTGCCCAACTCTAAATTGGGGGAAACAAGAGAAAAAGAGAGCACTTTGATCGTCGGAGTTCTGTCCGTCTCTTGATCTACCGTGACACAAGAGCCGAGGGGAAGAGAGGACAAGACAACTCAACAAAGATGTGGACGACGGACACTTTGGGCTTCCTCGCCGTCGGCCAATCGTGGTTCTTCCCCTCCCACCCCCCTAGATATCAAGGCCTGCTCGTCCGTCAGTAAAGTTTTCATCAAGAAGAATTCGCTTGGAATCAGCCTAGACATTGCTTGTCTCCGAAAAGCTTGTGTAACAAAGGGATTCATTAGCTATTTTGTGAGGGTTTTTATCTGTTTTCCTTATCATGGGGTTCATCATATCCCTAAGAGAATCAAAACCTTCCAAGCTGAGTGTGATCTCGGCACGGATGGATTTGCTTTCCTCTTGCCATTGGAGCTGGCTTTTTTTTTTTTGTGAACCCCTATCCCAATTCCTAGCCTGCCCAATCCCACTGCTGCTGTACTCGCTGGCGAGGTATCCTTTCTCCTGCCATCAGCAACTTATTTACAAAGTCAAGAAAACCCAGTACGGCGCGGCAATCCTCCTGATTAGCGTGCCCTACGACCCCGTAAAACAATAATCAACGCCGTGATCTCGGGACGCCGTCTTCAATGCCAGACACAAGTGTGTGGAACATAGAGATGAGAGAAGGAAAAAAAGGAAGATACCATTCCGTCTATCCTGTGATGCATTGCGTCATAACCCAAGATGAGGGCTCAAGTCTCCCTTCCCACACCTGGCACATCATTACTGAGCTGGTGGGGTTTTGGGTTCCTGTCAAAATCCCTCATGTTTTCGTGTATCCGAGAAAATGTGCCCAAGATGATTGGGTGGACCAGAATGCCAACACATATACAGAAGAACCGGCAAGATTGCCTAGCGCTTTGTCCTTGAGACTGTGGTATCTCCCATCAAAACGGGCAAACATCATGTGAAGTCATATCTAGTGCTCATATCCGGCACCACGTTGCCAAGGGCTGTTCGATTGTTAGCTACTGTATTGCCAAGTGGCTCTTGTTCCTTTGATATCTTACCTGGCGTTGTTTTGGGAACGGTACTGCGCAGGGCTGGCATTGTTCTGGTTGCGGTACTGGTTGTGATTGTTGGCACCAAGCGTTGATGCAGAGCCGTTGTACGGGCTTGGGGTGCGAGTAGGCCCTTGTCCATAGGGGTTGCGGTTGTCTGCCGGGAAGAGAGGCATCGAAGGGTCCACTGGTGAGTGCGGCGCCTGGCCGTGCTGTTGACCTCCGGGACGCTGAGAGTGCTGAGAGGGCGCAGCTGACTGGGCAGTCGATGGCGGCAAAGCAACACCAGAGGGGTCCGCTCGGCGACGCATGGACTCAGAAGAGATGGAGTCATTGTCGTCATCGAGGTCGAGTCCCTTGTTGTAGTGGGCCTTGTCACCTCGGGCAGTCGCAGCCAAAGCGTCCAACTCAGTAGTGGTGTTGAGCTGGGTCTGGGACTTCATGAAGGAGGCTCGGTCATCGGCCATGAACTGGTAGCGAGCATCAGGGTTCTTGCGGAAGTAGATCAATGTGCTGCTGACAATAACAAGCAGCAGAAGGATCAGAGCGAAAGCCGCGTTGGCGATGAAAAGAACCACACCGACGATACCGTTTACCAGAGCCGGGGCACCGAAAACGTCGGAGAAGATGAGCAGGAAAACGGCGTTGAGGAAGTTCATGACGCAGATGGCAATGTTGAACGAGTTGGTGCTCTTATCCATCCAAGGGCGCAAAACACTGGCAGCGATGAGCGCAGCAGCCTCAATGATGACGAAGGCAATGGCCTGAATGGTTCCGTTGCGCTGGGCAAAGGCGACGAACATTCCCTTGACAACAGTGTAGCCAAGCGTAGGGACGATGAAGTAGTATGCCGAAGCGCGGAACTGAACGTAGAGGAAACCCCACTTGTTAAGGGCCTGCGGGTCCGAGAAGAGGATGTAGGCCGGGTTGCGATGCATGGCCACGGAGCGACGCGCGATTCTGATAACCTTGAAGGAAGCCCATCCGAGGGTGAGAGCCATACCGAAGAGGAAGAAGACAGCGAGAACAACCTCAGCCGCGGAGTCAGCCTGGGTGAACTCCCAGAGGCAGAGAATCGTCATTTGGGGGAAACCAATCAACGTCATACGGAAGAGGATTCCCTTCAGGACAGTGAACCAGCCGTTGCGGAACTCGAGGAACTTCTCACTCTTCATCCACTTCTGTCGGACAGCCAACTCGCAGAATCCCTTGAAGGCGGCGACGCCAAGAACGGTGAAGATGACGAAAACGCAGAAGAAGGACAAGCCAGTCATGAAGAGATTAGTCGATTCGATCTTGGCGCGGAAGGCAACTCTCTGGATACCGAACACGATGTAGCTGCCGGAGGAAAGCTGAATGTTGGCTCTCTTGGCGATGATGGAGGGAACGGAAGAAATGCCACGCTTGGCCATTCTGGCGGCAGAAAGGGCCCAATCCATGGAACGCTTCTCAACCTGGACAGAAGTGGTCGTCAAGGAGTTGAGGAGAGTGGAAGGAGTTCCACCAGTTGCCCGCTGGTACCATGTGAATATATCCTGCATGAACTGGACGCGGATGATACCCATAGACCAAACGAAGTCCTGAGTCCATGACTGGACAATAGGCGGCAGGTGAACACCGGTGAGACCAACAATAGCCTGAGACTGGAAGTAGCCGAAAAGCGATAGCGTGTTGGCGGCAACGTGGGCAGCGGTGTTGGTGTGACCGAGACCAGATATAACGGCGGAAGAGATCAGTCCCAAGCCGGCGATGATGGCGGTAGCCCACTTGACACCAATCAAGTCAACAGTCTTTCCGTTGGAAATATCAGCCTCAACGCAAGCCACACTAGTGGAGGTGTCGGTCAAGTTGACGAAGACACGGACAGTAGCGTCGAGATCGGGAATGTTGTAGGCAATGCCCGGAATCTGGCCGACGGCATCCTCACCAACAGGCAAGTTGAAGTTCATGGTGATCTTTCCGGCAGTCATGGGGCACAGACCAGCGAGGTTGATGCTGCAGGGGTCAACAGTGCGCCTCAGGAACTCGTAACCGTAAGCCGAAATAGACACATCAAAGACAATGCTGCCCTGAACAGAGGAGACGGCGACAATGTTGATTGCGGCACTTCCATTGCCGGGGGTGAAGACAACGTTGAACAGACTGGCTGTGAAGCTGGAATCATCCTGGCAGGTGTTGAGAGAGTTTGACTGGAGCAACTGCTCAGCAGCAAGGACTGGCGTAGTGAGGTAGGTGGCCAGGGTGCCGAGCAGAAGCAACGGCTTAGCGAGTGACAACCTCATGGTGGGTGGTAGGTCGTCGAGATGGTCTGGGTTAGAGTAAGAGGTGATCCGCTTGACTGTGGTCCAGTATCGTCGTTGGAAGACGATGGAGCGCGGAAGATGCGGGGGGTTGAAAGCCGTCTAGGTCGAGAATATCATGGAGGTTGACGTCGTTCCAGACGGTATTGGCGACAGAAGACGATTCGGTAGAAGCAAAGGGATTGATGCGGTCGTCGATCGAGCTCGAGGCCTCTGGAGTTATTTCGCAAAGGTTGGCTTGTTTTCCGTGGCAGGGGAAAAGGTGCTAGCGAAGGTTATCTGCCGACGAATTGAGGGTTTGGCGCGGTGGTTGTTCCTGTCAATCCTCCTGTTCTGGCGAAGAAAACGAAGCGAGCGATGGAGGGAATGGAGGAGTGCGTCCCTCTCGAAGGCGGCGACGGAAGAAGCGAAGGGAATATTCGTGTCGTCGTTGTCGTCGAATCAATCGGTAGTCGCAGGGCTAGGTGTCGACCTGAGGGAAAGGGTCGGGATTGGAGATGGGTGGGTTTGGTGGTTTTGTTGTTTGTTGCTAAAAGGAAATTGGGAAAGGAAGGGAGAGGGAAGGGAAGCAGATCGCCAAGCGGAGGGCTGGACGGGGAAGGAAGGAGTGATGAAAGGAGGCGCCGGTGGTGGTTGCTGGATGGCACTGTGGAGGGAGTGGCAGGTGCTTGCTGGCTGCAACCTTGGTTCCTTCCTTGGTGCGGCTTTCTCTGCTTGGGTTCGAGTGAGCGAAAGGCAAAAGCAGGACTGGACCCAAAACCAAGACGGGTGGAAGGTCGGATTCAGGAAAACCGGGCAACAAGGGCCAGAATACGGGGGTGGAAGGATGATGGGTATAGGCAAAGGCCCAAGGGAGAGCGACGCTGTGCTGCGACAGGCGGACAGCAGGAATCCCGTGGATTGACTTGTGTCTGGTGTGTGGATGCGCCACTTTGTGGGTAGTAAAGGGGACAGGGGTAGAGGGGGGCCGTAGTACCGTACGGGGTTGCGAATGGGTGGTGTCGGCCCAGGCTGTCGTAATTTCAATCTTTGGAGCCGGGTGGTGCGTCGTCGAGGTGCGAATGTGGGATGTACCTTGGAGACACTTGGTTTTGGGCCCCCCTGTTTAAGTGGTGGAAGGGGAGAACGGGGGAACTTGGAAGGACTTTTACACTCCCAAGGAGACACGAGGGAAGGATGAAGGAGGGAAGAAGCGAACACGCGCCCAATGGGATGAAGAAGAGGTACTGCCTGCTGAGTATTGCTTGACGAGGCTGGAAAGGGACGCAACCGGGGACAGCGAGTATACCTTCTCATACACACATTTCACCACCAAGTCGGAGGTTCTCTAACTGTACCTCCGCATCCAAAACTGGATTCAGCTCGTATCGATCTAACAGAGCTACTTGTCTCTGGCGCGTAAAGCCGTCAGGAACGGTCCAGACGAACACGCCGCCAGCGGGACACATGTACACACGAAGTCAACTGAAATGCTGTCTGTCACTGTTGGAATCAGCCAAGCAACACCACCAGAATCACGACTCACCACCACCACCACCACCACCACCACCACAAACACACCACAGGCTTGCTGTTGCTGCAGTGCCCAAGGATGTATTTTAGTCACTCATTACGAGGCAGAGCAAATTGCACACATACCAGATGCCGGGGAAACACCACAATGCCTAATTCACGCAAACCAAACCAAACCAAACCATTCAAGCATCAACTTCAAGGTCCGAGAATAGCAGATTAACATCATTTCTAGACTCTCAGCCATGATTGACGAAACAGCACATGTGGACCAGATACAACTCGGCCTACTCGATAACCCCGCTGCTACGCCAATCCATATTCTCTATAACCTTCCGCTACACCAACAGCATCAGCATCGACAACACAGACCCGATCGTCGTTGGCGTTGTCATTCACATCCTCGTCCAACTTGGCGGACTCCCGCAATCATAGCGTCATGCAAACCGACTGCCTTCCGCCATCCGAATATTCCACCTGCAGCTCTGCATGGCCAAGCCTCAAGCCTCAAGTCTACCAAGGTCATTCATCCAAATCCCCGTCCCATCTTTGCTCCCGTATCCCGTCTGCATTTCGATTCTTATTCTCTGTATCCATACGGATGCAGGTTCTTCAGCTTCTCAATCCAGCCCCCAGACACTGGCTGCAGACACGAATGCTGACAACTAATAAACTCCCATCGGCTTACATCGCCCCCGCCCGCCGCCGCGCTACACCGCGTACGAACATACGCACAGTCATCACCACAACCCGTTCCAGTCCAGGTCATCGTCATCGGCCTCCAGCCTCTCCTTTCTCGTAATGAATGCTGTCAACAGACTAGCCTACACAGTAAGCCTCAGATCACGCAGTCCCGGGCCTCCGAAAATTCCCAAGACTCTCCAAGACCACTTTACAATGCTTCCAAGACCTAAGCCTCCACGACAAGAAACCCAAACGGGCCCAAGTAGCTACTGCTGGCATGTTCCCTCGCCCGCTCTCATCTCAAGCACCTCCGCGACACGGGGTGTTTGGGTGTCGCCTAGCCTCAGACATCAGACAAGACCACCTCGAGAAACAGGAACACGGCACCACGACCAGAGGAAGAAGCGGCACGCACTAGACCGAGCCAAAGAAGAAGGCTAACCCACAGCTCATTTCCATTCCTCTGTTTCTCTCGTCGAGTTCAGTCTCTGTAGTCTGCACTGCCACGATCAACTCTCTCCAAAGGGCACGCGTACGTACGCATTACTCCAGCAGACCATGCCGCGCCGGGGTATCTTGCCTGCTCACACCTGAAATGCCGGCTCCCGGGAGAGCGAGTGCGACCGAAGGCTTCAGTGGTAACCAGTCACTGGTGTCTACCCAGCCCGATGCCCACTGAACAGGCTCGACGTCACAAATCCATGCCCCCCGGCTTGCGTGGTTTCGTCCCAACGGGATAGAACTTGGCCGGGGTCATTTCTAAGGAAAAGGGAATCACGAGCCTGAGACGTCTAAAAATGGCCCAGCCGCCCCAACGGCGGTTGGTAGGCTACCGTTGCGAGGCTGAACCGTCCAGCAGGCCGTGGACTCTTGGAAATCGCCTATACGAAAATTGATGAGAGCACAAAAGACAAAATGGAAGGCTTTTCAGAACGCTTTCTTGAGGCTGCCGTCTGCCAGCCTTCACCCTGTAACATGTTCTGCAGCACCATGACTTTCCTCACACTGACAGCTCACCGCGGCACACCGAGCCGAGCGACCTAGACCATTATTCCGGCCCACGATGGAGACGGATGAGCGATGGACCAACAAGATTTCCAAGGCTAACGCTGATGATCGACGAGCATCCAATGTTTTGGGCTGATGAACCGCTGGTCCGTCGTTACAGACTTTCCAGTGAGTGAATATCCCAACTTTGCTCAGTAACAATTCCAGTTGCAGGTCCGGGCACGAGAGGCTGTGTTCGTTCACCTTGCGTTTTTACCTTATGTTGCTTATGCAGGGCTTCCCGCCGACAAGAAGCCAATTGCGACGCTGCCCGAACCTTGTTCTCATCCGTCTGGCTCCCTCCCTCGCACAGTCCTCGACTACTCTCTCAGAGTCTGCGAGTCTTCATCCTCGTTGGTCCCTCCCGAGACGCGGATCCTCCGTGCATCGCCACGATTGAGATTTCTCGCTTCGAGCGTGTTCCGGCTCGCTCTAGACGAGCGCACATCAAACGGCACTCAGAAACAATTCCATCTCCCTTTGCAGCTCCCTTCTCCGCAAAACCCACATTTTCAAATCTCGTCAGAGTGGTCAGCGTGCCAGCGGTGCCAGTGTGGCAGCAACCCGCCAGCAACGCGTGCTTCGGGGCCCGGTGTTACGCTGAAAATCACAATCCCTTCCCAGTCTGGCGGCAACTCATCTCCAATCGTTTATAGCCAAAATAAACATTGCTGGTGGGAACCCGTCACAATCCACACCCACTGTTCACGGCATCGACAGCAATGGGGGTGACGAAGTTTTCCCATAATCGCTCATCAATGATCAATCTCCAGAGCTGGGGCCCGCATGCCACCTGCAGACTTTCCTTGCGTCGTTTAACATCGACTGCCATGTGTCTCGGAACATTTGACTCGTACCATCATGCCTTAGCCTCCCTTGAGGAATTTTGCAATAATGGCTTGTTCCTTGCAGCATATTGTTTCTTCTATCCTTCCCTCTCTCATTATTCCAAGGCAACAAATTCTGTCATAAGAGGAAGGGAGGGAAAAAAACACAATTCCTCCAATATTCCCACCTTGCAATTATATGCTCATTTATCGACAACCTTAATCTATGTCATGCTGCTCAAGGTCCAGGGTCTGAAATACTCCATACACGTTATAACACAAAATTTAGCACTCGCCCCGAAAACGAAGAGGCGACTTCTCTCCTCGTAAGGCCGGTTCTGTCCATCCGCAGATAAATGACCCGACGCCTTAAAATAAATCACGAACGCCTTACCATAACATGGAAGATCGTCCGCTTCCGTTGAGGGAATCCATAAATGCCATTCAATTCTCTACAGGCGGCAGAGTTCCTGAGAAAAGTGGCATGAGGTAGGAAAGGAATTCCAGCGCAACACATTGACGGTTTGACCCAGGGAGTCGCGCGTACATTTTCAGCTTAGACTGTCAGTTTACTGAAGACAAGGAATCGACGTTGTGTGCATAATTTCCCTGCAGCGTGATGTCAGCGTCGCCCGCGAAGACCAGTTTGTGAGGATGTTCAACTAGAAATCCTGAAAAGTCGCCGACCTACCAATGCTATAGAAATAGACAGATTGACCGAGTAGTCAATTGGTAGATACAGCCAGAGGGGATCGGTTCATTTGATTCGAACCCGATTTCTTTTCCCTCGTATCGCGATGAAGTGTACCAGCCCGTCGACCTCGCGACAAAACAGAGGCCTGGTGATCAACCAACCAAGCTGGCAATGGCGGCGAGCCACTCCCGCTCACTAACACGGGGGATCGACAGGGC